TACGTTCTAAATATGTGTCCTTAAATCCACAAGTAAGTATAGTCTTCATCCCTTACCAAGAAATGGATATATCTACAATACAATTTCCACACCTAAGGATCATAATAGAGGTAGGGGGCTGGAAAGATTGTAAGGGCCAGAAGAATAGGGAGCTTGCTGTGACATGTGTTTCCTAGGAATGTCAGAAACTATACCCATAAAGTCTCATCAACATAGCTCTCTCTCTCTCTCTCTCTCTCTCTCTCTCTCTCTCTCTCTCTCTCTCTCTCTCTCTCTGTGTGTGTGTGTGTGTGTGTGTGTGTAAAACAACAATTAATTAGAAAAGAAGCCATGAATTTGAAAAAGACAAAGGAGGGATATATGGGAGATTTGGAAGAGGAGAAAAAGGAGGAAATGATGTGGTTATATTATAATCTCAAAAAATCATTTAAAACCTAGGAAAGGGAGAAGTCAAAGTGTGTTCATTTGCAGATGATATGATTCTACACATAAAACCTTCTACAGACTGCACCAGAAAACTCCTACACCTGACAACTACATTCAACAAGCAGGATTCAAAATTAACACACAAAAATCAGTAGCCTTCCTGTATACAAGTGGCAAACATACCAAGAAGGAAATCAAGAACAGTACCATTCACAATAGCCTCAAAAATAACATCTTCAAATATGTCTAAACAAGGAAGTGAAGGATTTATATAATGGAAAATTTAAGATACTGAAAAACACTTCACGTGCTCATGGGTAGGTATGATTAATATTGTGAATATGGAATCCTACCAAAATAATACACAGAGTCAATACAATTCTCATCAAAATTCTAACACAATTCTTTACAGAAACTGAAAAAATTATCTTAAATTTCATATGGAAATACAAGAGACCCATGATGATGAAAACAATATTGAACAACAATAACAACCACCAAACTGGTAGAGGTATCATCCAGATGTCAAGTTATACTACAGAGCTATAGTAATGAACATAGCATGATGCTGGCATAAAAACATATTCTTTGATCAGTAGATTAGAATTTAGGACCAACATACAGCCCACACACTTCTACAGCCACTTGATTTTTGACAAGTAGGCTAACAGTGCACATTGCGGGGCAGGGGGGGGGGATCATCTTCAACAAATGGTCCTGCTCCAGCTGTGTAAGCTACACACAGAAGAAGAATGAACCCTTTTCACTATGTCTCCCCTGCACAAAACTCAGCTCCAACTAGATCAACTCTATCAACATAAGACCTGATACCCTGAACCTAATAAAGGAAAAATACAGGGAATATTCTTGACCTTCTAGGAAGAGGAAGGAACTCTCTGGAAAGGACCCTAAGAAGTGCAAACATTAAAATCAACAACTGGTCAATGGACCTAATGAAAGTAAAAATCTGTATAGCAAAGAACACCATTGCCCCATTAGGGAGGCCATCTAGAGAATGGGAAAAATCTTTACCAGGCAAACATTTGTCAGAAGGTTATAATCTAGAATATATAAAGAAGAGAGAGAGAGAGAGAGAGAGAGAGAGAGAGAGAGAGAGAGAGAATAAGAAACCCAATTAAATGATAAGGTATAGAACTAAACAGTGAGTCATCAAATGATAAAATAGAAATAACTGAAGAACACTTTTAAAAGGTTAATCATTCTTAGCCACAGGAGAAATGCAAATTAAAAATACTTGGAGATTGCCTCTCAAAGGCTAAGGTCAAAACTACAAATGATAACAAATGCTAGCATGAATATGAGGAAAGAGTAATATGTATTCACTGCTGATGAGAAAGAAAATTGGTCCAACCATTATGGAAACGACTGTAGTGGTTCCTCAAAAAGATAAAATTAGACCTATCACATTATCCAGCTATACTACTCTTGGGTATATACCCAAAGAACTCCATATTATATTATATCATAAAAATACGTGTTCATCCATATTCATTGCTACTCTATGCATGATAGCCAGAAAATGAAAACAATCTATATATCCATTAACTACTGAATGGGTAATGAGAATGTGGTATATTTTCACAATGGAATATTAGTCAACTATTAAAAATGAATTATGAAATTTGTAGATAAGTGGATGGATCTAAAAGAAATCATTCTGAGTGAGGTAACCCAGACCCAAAAAGACAAACATCCCATATTTTCTCTCATCTGAGGATGCTAGCTTTGAATCTTCAGATATGTTTGTTTGATTTGGAATACCCACAGAGGTCAGGTAATTACTAAGTGGCCATGGGAGAGACTTTCAAGACAGGGGTGTTATAAATCACTGGTATAAAAAGGTAAAACATGAAATAATGAAATAGGAAGACTTAGGAATACCCAGAGCAGAGGGTAGGATGGAGGAGGGAGTATGATGAGGGATAAATAATACTGAAGACCTTTCAAAGAAGACATGGAAACCTGCAATACCTAAGCTAACACCAGAAGCTGCCATTTAAAAAGCCAGGAATAGGTTACTTCTTTTGGAGTTGTTGGTCAATGAGGTCCTATAGACCCCTCTCCAAAAATATTACAGGCTATTGTAATTGCTCTTAGTTACCCTTCAAAACATGAGAATAAAACCTTAGTGTTGAAGATACCACCACTTGAGTTGTGAGCTCATGGAATAATAAAACTAGTACAGACCTGGGAGCTTCATACCTATAAAATATCTTTAATAGTGTTGGAAGATGCTATAGAAGCTACCAGAGTAGAGAAATCATCATCATTCATACCCTGCTGTAAACCCTGTTAGCTACAACAATGAATAAGATTTGGGAAGACATGACCACTGGTGCAATAGTGGCAGGAGCATCATGGGAGTAACCAATCATTTTCTAATTGGATTTAAGTCACACTCTGTAGGAGGAAATTTCTGTCCCATCAGCAACTCCCAAATACCCAGCAGCTACTTCCCAAATTACCACACAGAGGCTTATATTAATAATAAATGTTCAGCTGGTAGCTCAGGCTTATTACTAACAACTCTTACACTTAAATTAACCCATAATTCTTATCTATGTTGAGCCACATGGCTTGGTACCTTTTCTCAATACAGTGTTCGCATCTTGCTTCCTCTGCATCAGGCTGGCAACTACTGACTCTGCCCTTCCTCTTCCCAGCATTCTTAGTTTTTAGTTTAATTGATCTGCCTATACTTCCTTCCTGGCTACTGGCCAATCAGTGTTTTATTAAAACAATTCAAGTGACAAATCTTTACAGTATACAAGAGGATTATTCTACAGCAACACTCTACAAGATAAAACCCATATATGGCAAAAATCTTCGGCCAAAAATCTAGACAGATTATAGGCCTTAGGGGAGAATCTGATACTATTATACTACTAAATGGGGATAGTATTAAAGTGACTCCTAATGACATATTATTATACCCATCCTTTGGTGAATCTTTTAACACTCATCTGAGAAACTTCTGTTTGCAGTAGATGGTATAAACACAGAGACCCACAAGGCAAATGTGGAAAGAATAAAGAATAAGAGACTACAGAATTCTCAGCCCTAAAAGGAACACAGATACTCTACATCTCCTGCTTCTAATGCTCAGGCAACATATCAGAAGGGGGATAGAAAAATGTGATGGATTACTAAAAGAAACTTTTTTTTTGGACACAGCTGGGCAGCTACACATATGAACTCACAGAAATTTGACAGCATGCACAAAACCTGAGCAAGCGCAATCCATACCAAATACCAGCATGGAGAGGGAAGTTGGGCAACATTCCCACCCTTAACCTTAAAAGCAAATGGCAATTGGTAACTGGTAGGAGAGGGAGAAACGGTTTATTTTTCTAAGAGTGTAGCCCCTGGTAAGTCAATCACGTTTCAGGGGAGGACCCTATCCAGGAATATTTGAATGGCAGAACTTTGTTCTGAAGGGTTGAAAAAACATGGACATAAAGTTGGATAGGAAGGGAAATAAGGTAGATTTGGAAAGAATTGTTAAAAGGGAGGCAAATGTGATCAAAACATGTTGTATGAAGCTAAACTCTCAAAGAACTTATAGAGAGAAAGGAAGGAAGAGGAGGAGCAATGAACTAGCAGCCCCCCATGCTAACCCGCATAAGGTGAAGGATGGAAACAGAAGGAAAAACTTGATGACAGGATTTCTAGAATTTGATGGGAAAGGAGTAGTGTTGTAGGTCATGTGTCCTGTGTTTGTCTGTTCATTCAGTAATAAAAAGGTGACATTCTCTACTCACAGCAGTACAGATGGGATGTGGGAAAGAAAGAAAAGCAGATGCATTAGGTAGCCTAACAGCAATATGCCATTAAATGAGAGGCTTTCTAGGGAATCTCTCGCAAAGTGGGATTGTCAAGTTCAGTGTGTAGATTTTTTTTCTATCTTTCACCACTAAGACCTGAAAGAAATTAGAGTCAAATTTACTCCAACTTAGAAGAAGAACACAAAAAAAATAGCAAGGTCTCAAAAGGTTGATAGACCCATCAAGGGACTCTCTGTGTCAGGCCCTGAGACTTGGACACATCCAGGACACAAAACAACAGAACGTGCCAATGGCACCAGAGAAGCTTAAAGTGTGAGGTGATGTTTTTCAGATGAAGGTCAGTTTTCTGGATTGCCTATCTTGAGGTATTGTTGATGGCAACACATACAGAAATTGAGAGAGCAGCACTGGAAATATTATTGATTAGAAGAATATTAGGCTTTCCTAGGTTAGCAGAGAAAGAAAGAAAAGAAAGCTTGAGTATAAAACAGGTAAGACTTCTAAAAAGTAAAGACAGAGGAATGTGGGAAGACTGGGAACAGGCTGCGATTTGCCAAGAGCATTTACCAAATAGCCTGGAATGTAACAGGTCATTAATCCACTTTGCAAACGTTAGATATTTAGGATGCTTTTCTTTCTTATGTTTCATAACCAGAAACCACAGCACAGATCTCCCAGGTCTGGCCTTGCCTGCTGAAGCATGAAACAGCTGAGGGGGTGGCTTGAAAGAGGGATCAAATTCAGAAACAGCCTTGAGAATAAACTCGTGCCAAGTTAGGAACCCACCTCAATGGCTTCACCAGCCCCTAGCCAGCTCCTCTTGAGGCTAGCTGTGACTTCAAGCTAGCAACAGAAAGTTCATTCAGGTAACTTCTTTTTGTTTCCTCTATGCTTTGTCAAACAAGGTCAGTGGTGGTATGTCTGGTTTCCCCATATCTCAGCTCTCCACTTTCCATTGTATGGTTGTCATCAGTTGGTTGGCTTATTTTGTTTTCCTCCAACACCTTCCCTTAGTTTTCTCTGCATGTGAAAATAGCAAACCTTCAGTTATTGTGGGTCTCACTCAGTTCTTTGTGTACCATTGGCTACAGTTTTGAGAAGAAATAGCAGGAATGCAGCCTGACACTGATGATACAGACTTGGAAAGTGTGGAGCCTAATTTCTATTCTAGACAGAATGTAATTTCAGGCACACATGAGCGGAGGAGAGGGGGTTGTTGGTGTAGTTTTCCTGTCCTCTTTTAGAGCAAAGAGAGTCTCTCATGTCTAAGTGCCTGGAGCCTGTGTGAGACCATCGTGGCTAACTTGGTGTCGATACAGCATCCCCAAGGGCCTTGAGTTTTCTCACGTAGGGAAGTTATCTGTACTGTTGACTGGGAATAAACTAATGAGCACTTTCTTAATCTTCACCACAGAAGACATGAGGAGAAGCAGCTGCTTGCACCAAATGATGACACTTTTTCTGGTACTCTCTACTTTGACACATGTTACTTCTTCAGGTGAGCAATCTTAGAGATAAAAATTTGATTTTCTTAAAGCTGCAGAGAAAAAAAAAGTCTTTTTTTGTCCTTTGGATCAGTGTTTTTCTGAAATATGAAATGTTGAGTATTTTAGTCCAAATGACATATTATTAAAATGTATTTTCCTAAGAGGAAAAATCAACTTTGTTTTCTACATTGTAGATTCTAATCTGCTCTATGTTTGGAACCAAACCACGTCTTCTAGTGCAGAGAACACTTTAATGTACCCATTATAAGTAACGCATTGTGTGAACATGATACCTTTTCCTAGAATAGATGTGCATTTCCACATGGAATTAAAATTTTCTTTGAAATATGACAGTGGGGGAAATGCCAATGAAGAACACAGGCATTTTGTTTGAACGCTGTTGGTGTGTGTCTGAGAACTGCACAAGAAAAACCAATGATTTAACACAGTCTAGATCATAAGTTCCCTGCCAGGTATATTTCTTGGAAATGTTTACCAGTCTGTGGGTAGGCTTTAGAGCTTTATTAAGTGACTTTCAAAGAGCAGAAGTTTCAAAATTTGATGAAGTCAGTTTTTCTTTTCATGGATTATGCTTGTAATAATCTTTGCTTCCTTTAAGATCACTAATGTTTGTCTTTTATTGCTTCTGTCAGGAATTTTTATGGTATTGAACTTGGTTTATGCTTGCAATCTACACTGAGTTAGTTTTTCTGTATGCTGTAATGTAATAGTTCACAGTTCTATTTTTTCCTTAGAGGTACCTAATTGTCTCAGCATCACTTGTTGAAAAGATGGCCCTTCCTTTTCAACTGGATTGCCCTGTTACTCTTTTCTTAAACTCATTTCTTCATAGTTGTGTGTCTTTGGGTTTTTAATTCTGTTTCATTATTTATCTAGTCCTATGCTATCAAAATGTTATGCTAATTTCCACAGTCTTTATTTTTGGACCAATGTTATAACTTACATACAAAAAAAGTTAACTAATGACGGCCATGGGGTATGAGATTGCTCATTAGATAAGGAATTTTGATCCCAGGGCTGGTGACCTGAGTTCAATCCCCCAAGCTCATGTGGTAGAAGAACAAACTAACTCCTGTAAGTTGTCCTCTGACCTTCGAATGTGTGCTGTTGCTAGTACTAGGTAATAAATAAGTAGAACCAGCATGATGGATGTCCAGATGGCTTACAGGATAAGGATGCTTGTCACCATGTCTGATGACCTGAGTTTGATTCCCAGGACCCATGGGGGAAGGAGAGAATTGACTCCTGTAAGTTGTCCTCTGATTTCCACATGCACATATTGGCACATTTATACAAAAAAAATGTGCACAGACACGCATGTAAGCATGAGCATGTGCGTACACACAGATATATTTGTAATTTTTAAATAAACACATAAATAAATATATTTTAAAATATTTCCTAAAAATCTAAGGGAATCAAGGAAATACTACAAAGGTGAAAACAAATAGAAACAGTGAGAAGAAAAAACATATTTCAAGAGAAACATTTTCCCCACTAAAATGGACATAGTGGAACTAACTCAAATCATCCTTGAATATAGGATTTCGGTGATAATAATTTCATTCTAAAGAAAAATTAAATATGTAATTGTACTGGTCAGTTTTAAGTCTTAACCTGACACCTAGAATCACCTGGGAAGGTAGTCTTAATGAGGAATTATCTATATCAAGTTTGCCAGTGTATGTCTTGATTGCTACTTGATGTATGAAGACTCAGCCCATTGTGGGTGGCACCATTCTCTAGGTAAGGTGTCCTGAAAAGTATGTGAAAAGAAAGCCCACTGAGAGCAAGGCAAAGCAAGCGAGGATGCACTTATTCTTTCTCTGATTTTGATTATTGATGTGATGTGACTGCACTGGGTGATTTCCTGTCTTGATGTCTTGGAAATGATCAACTAAAATCTTAGAATTGTGATCCAAATAAAGCCTTTCTTGCCAAAGGTTTTTTTTTTTTTTTTGGTCAGGAAATTTGTTACAGCAACAGACATGAAACTAGAACAATATTGAATTCTAGTTTGCGGAGTTTTTTCATAGAAGATGAAATGTGTTTTTTGTGAGCTATTTTGTGCAAATTTTAAGTTTGAGCAATAAGTAAATATAATGCATCATGAAAGACAAATTTTTTACCAGCAAAGGAAGCTACTCTAAAAAGTCCTCTGATAGTTGAAAACTAACCAATACACTTCCACATAATGCATGGGTCAGGAAAAATCAGAAAACAATTTTAGAGTAATTTTCTTTGTTTTTAATTTTTTCTTGTATTGTTGTTGTTGTTATGTATTGAATAAGGCAACTTGAAGATAAAACAAAAGGATGCCAGGCACTCTAAAGGAAAACACAGGGGAAACTCTGTGAGTTTGAGGTCATCCTTGTCTACATAGTGCTTTTCAGGACAGCCAGGGCCACATAGAAAGACTCTGTCTTCAAAACATCAAAATTCATTCATTAATTAATTGGGGGAATCAATCTCTACAGAAGCAGATTGTCCTTTACTAGAACAACGAGGGGCAGGCATGAAAAGAAACCGTGCACCAAGGTGCAGGAGGCTTGAGGGTCTTACAGGGCAGGGAAGGGAACTTTTCAGGTGGAAAATGCCATCTGTAGGTCTGTTTTCTACATCGCCAAGCTGTAAATTCTAACTGAAGTTCTTACCTATATGTCGAGTTCCTTGTCAAGGGTTTCCCAGCTCCTAACTGCCTACAGATGTCATCTGAGTGTAAATGTTACTATCAGGAGTTTTGCTGCTCACCTGGAGGTTTTAGGTCATTGACCCTTCTTTTGTTGCTTGTGTGAGTGTTTGTATACCGTGTCTCTCTCTCTCTCTCTCTCTCTCTCTCTCTCTCTCTCTCTCTCTGTGTGTGTGTGTGTGGCTGTGGCTGTGGCTGTGGCTGTGGCTGTGGCTGTGGCTGTAGCTGTGGCCATGTGTACGTGTGGAGACTAGAGAACTACTTTCAGGAATCAGCTCTGCCCCTCCACTGTACACTCTGTGGTTTGAACTCAGGTCCTCAGGCTTGGGAAGCAGGTGCTTGAACTTCCTAGGCCATTTGGCCAGCCCCAATTTGAAATGATTTTTAATGAAAGCAAAATGAACAAAAAGATACATTCAAAGAGCTAGCTTGCCCCATTCCATTATCCTTTCTGCTCTACACACACACCATCTTCTTTGTATTCAGTTTCAATTCTCTGGGCTTTCCGTGTTGATTTTTATCCAAATAATAGTTATACATCACTGCCGTCTAGCTGCCTACATGAAGATGGCATACTATAGATGTTTGTTTACAACTTACTTTTCCCAACTTGTGTTGAATCTTGGAAGTCCATGAGATCATAGTTCATAGGGGACTTCCTTTCTGTTGTTCAGTTATATAGAATTTCACTGAGTAGATGCAACAAACCATTTGGGAACTGTTCTACTAGAGATTTCATTTTAGTGTATAACAGCAAATAGTGTTCAATAAATAATATTGTGCATATGAGTTTTTGTATTGTTGGAGATATATCTTCAGAAGAAAGTCTTGAATTGGGAGTGATGAGTTAAATGAAAATTCAAATGTTGCTTGTTCAATATTGAAAACTTCCTCTTTATAAACAAATGCTTTTGTATTCTCACTATTAAAGAATGAAAACACCTCTTTCTAAGGAGCTGACATAATAAGTGATAAGTGGCTTTTTAGTATAATTTTAAATAACTATTATCATGAATTAAGTTGACTATCTTTTACAGATTTTGCTTCTCTATCTTTGTTGTGTGTGTGTGCGTGAGTCATATATGCACATATATTGCCTCTTCTGAATGAATTTTTCAATATTTCATTCCATTTTTTTCACTTACTTTTGTAGTATTTGATTTTTGGTGAGGGCACACATTGAGTTCAGGGCATTTCACATGTTGTTCAAATACTCTATTACTGAGCTATACCTCTAATCCTACGTTCTGAGGCATACCTTGTTATTTAGGACTATTGTTCCTAGTTCAAATACTGCATGGTATTTTTTTTTTTTTTTTTGGTTTTTCGAGACAGGGTTTCTCTGTGTAGCTTTGCGCCTTTCCTGGAACTCACTTGGTAGTCCAGGCTGGCCTCGAACTCACAGAGATCCGCCTGCCTCTGCCTCCCAAGTGCTGGGATTAAAGGCGTGCACCACCAACGCCCGGCACTGCATGGTATTTTTAAGCCACCTGAAATAGAAACAGAACCATAGTAGGCCCCATCTTCCCTCATTCTCCCACAGCTGTTCTCTGTCTGTGGGCACCAAGAGCATCCGACAAAACCTGCTCTCAGAGTCAGTATCCTGAAAGCAAGATGCTTGTTCTACTTGCATGTTCTCCATCCATGTACCCAAATTAAGTTAGCATCTTAGCAGGGCCTGCAGGAATACACTCCTTATACAACATATGCAATTTAATAGAAGTCTGAAAACGCATATAATTGTCCTAATTATAGACAATTATAGAAAAAGGAAACATACTGGAAATAACATTATACTTCATACAACTCCAAATTGTTTTTATTTAACTTATTAATTTATTTATATTGCAATGCTGGAGTCAGAACCCAGGATCTCATACATGCCAGACAATTTTTCTGTAGCTGGGTTACACACGCAGCCTGGTACTGTTCCCCCAATGAGGCAACAAATTTGGAATAGAGAGATGAATGAATAAATAAATAAATAAATAAATAAATAAATAAATAAATAAAGCAGTCCACAAAGGAATATCACTTATAAATTCTGTTGCTCTAAATTGTTTTACATGGCTTTATGAGAGTGAGTGACTAGTGGGTGAGATCATATCCCATCATGCACTATTTCTTTTAACTCACTGTGTTTGTACTTTATTTGCAGCACTTATCAAATCACGTAACCTCGCTAGCTGGCCTAAGGTAAACTTCAGTTCCTCACTTCTAAATTCTCCTTCTAATTGATCACTCTCTTCACTGGTGTCTAAAACTCCACAGAGGTGAAGTGCAATTGCTATGGGATGTTCTGTATGCTCTGAATGTGTTGCTCTGATTGGTTAATAAATAAAATGCTGATTGGCTAGTAGCCAGGCAGGAAATATAGGCGGGACTAACAGAGAGGAGAAGGAGGAGAAGTGAAAGGCTGAGGCAGCTGCCATGAGAAGCAGATGTTAAGATACCAGTAAGCCATGAACCACGTGGAAACTTACAGATTAATAAAAATGTGTTAATTTAAGATATAAGAACTAGATAGCAAGAAGCCTGCCACGGCCATATGGTTTATAAGTAATATAAGCTTCTGAGTGATTATGTTATAAATGGGCTACAGAACTACAGGGGCCCGAGTGGGACTGGAGAAAACTCCAGCTACATGCATTGACAGATTTTTCACATGGCCTTGGTTGGACACACATCTTAATCTCTCCAGGCTGGACTTCCTCCCATGTAGCATAATCCTTATAACATATTAATATGTTTTAGTAAATGTTATAGTTTAAAAAACACAGATTAAATATAGCTGAGCATTTAGCAAAATAACCATTGCTTGCTCAGTCACAAACATCACTTATCTCTAGTCTCTGTAGGCATTTCTCATTCTTATCAACTACATGGGAACCCTCTCCCCTCTAAGGTCACAAATACTTAATGAGTAAAGATATGTCTACTTATTAACTTCTTATACAATAACATACTGGAATGGAGATAAGATCAAAGGAAAACTGTGCACTTGGGTTTTAGCAGGGATTCTATTATGATTATCATTCAAGTGATTATGGGACACATGGAGTCACTATATTAAGAAGAAACAAAAACTCACCCAATGGAAGTCCAGAAGACAGGAAATCCTTAAACATACAGCTAGTAAAATTTAATATTATTTCTATGTGGGTTAGAAGTGGAAGGTAACCGATAAATGGGGAAAAATAAACTCTTGTTCCTGGCATGTTCCTGTTTCCAGCCCCCATGCAAAATGTACTACCCAACAGATCCTGACTATGAAGCATTCTGTCCAGACGTGGCAGCATATGTTTGTGCTACAAATGGCTTAACCTACAAGAATGAGTGCTTCTTTTGTATCGATCAGTGGTAAGTTCAAAATGAAATATAACTAGCGTATAATTTTTTTACTCTATGCTGCCTCAAGTTACAAAAAACTATGTTGACACATTATGAGTAATCAGCACATAGATCAGGCATGTGTAAAATATGACATGGCACCAGGATTGGAAAAGATGGGCACACATGGAACTGTAGAGACATCTCCAACTTCAGGACTTTATTAGGAGGCAGTGAAAGTGCATTTAAGAGCAACATCCATCTTCTTTAAGGAACTAATTTTCTGTCTCTTTTCTTTAGGGAATTTGGGCGTCATATTGCATTTGTCAAATATGGAAAGTGTGACTAGCAACTAATGAAACACCTTCACTTGCTTATTCTTTTCATTACTTCATTCTGGAAATTATTTCTTTGGAAACTTGAGACTTTTAATTTGCAAACTATATGTGTACCTGTGCCATATGTAAATTTCAAACCAGATGGAAAACAAACAAAGGAATCAAAATAATGGGGGAAATGTCATATTTGTTGCAAATAAACATCTTAATAAATGAAATGATTGCTATTCATTTCTGAAAACTGATAGTTTAAAGTCAACTTCCATGTGGAGAAATCTATTATCTGTCAGTACAGTGTGATTGCTACTTCTCTCTTGAATTAAACTCACTGGGTCTCTCTGTCTATGTTTTGCTCCACTGGTTTCACTTAAGGAAGCCATAAAAATGAAAGAGAAAACATCCTTCCCGTGAAAACTAGACTACAGAGTAGGAAGTTATGGGGTTACCCAGGCTTACCTTTCAAAATCCCTAAATCGATGTTATACTTCCCATTGTTGGAGGAGTAAAATACCAGAGAGAGATGAGGAGTGTTACCCTCATGGATGTCTCTTACTCAGAGAAAGAAAGAATAAGACTGTGGAGGTGAGATCAGAATTCACCCATCAGTTTTGCCACTGACTGTTTAATTTAGGGTCATATCACTGTCCTTGGCCATGCAGAAGGATGATCTGTTCAGCTTAATTAACTCACACCTTAAACATGATTGTATGCCTGATAAAAACCAATACTGCTCTTCCTTTTTGTAGTAATTAAGATGAAGGCTGTTAAACAGTGGTCCTCAACCTTCCTAATGCTGTGAACCTTTTATACAGTTCCTCATGTTGTGGTGACCCCCAAGCATAAAATTATTTTGCCACTGCTTTAGAACTGTAATACATATATCTGATATGTGACCTTGTGAACAGATCGTTCAACCCCATTGAGACTCACTGCTGTTAACTATGAGCTTCTGACTTATAACAGAAATATCCCACCACCTGGCAATTATTGTTTCTAGTGGTTGACTTAGGAACTAAGAATTTAAGAAATATAATTGACCTTTATTTATGTCAGTGTTTTATTTATTGACCAAACAGAGCATTTGACATACAGACCATCCCACAACACTTCCCCCTTTCTTCTTTTTTTTTAAAGGATGGTTTTAACTTTTACAAGATCTGCACCCTTGGAAGATTGGATTAGAGATATGGTTAATGTTGAGGCTCATGACCATGATGATATGTGGGTAGGAGAAGCAATTTCAAAAGGTTTGAGAAATGTTAGATGTTTTGGATATGGAAAGCAAGGACTTTTGAAAAGGGACTGTAAACAGATCATTCCTAGAAACGATGTTTCTTCGAGGAACAATGGCAACAGAATGCCCCTTCCTTCTGGAGTATGCAGAAGGTGTGGTAAGGGAAAACACTGGACCAATGAATGTAGATCAACAAGGGACAGGCAAGGTAATCCTTTGCCTCGGTCTTTGGGAAACTCCCAGAGGGGCCTCATGCAGGCCCCCATAGCAAATCCAGTTCAAACATTTCCTGCAGTTGTAGAGGAAACCCCTATTCAGAGCAATTAAATAACTAAATGCTTATTGGAATAAATCATGCTGGTCAGGATGATGAAACAGAGAGAATAGAAAATTCAGGAAAAAACATAAAGAAAATTTTTTGGCAAACTTCTATTAATGAACAAAGACCAAAATTAACGATAAAAATAAATGGTGTTTTGTTGTCTGGTCTGGTAGACACAGGTACGGATGTTACCATCATTGCACCAGAATTTTGGCATCCAACTTGGCCTCTTCAGGAGGTAAACGTTCAACTGTTTGGAATTGGGACATTATCTCAGGTGAAACAGAGTGCAAGATGGCTTGAATGTATAGGTCCAGAAGGACAGAGAAGAAAATTAAAACCATATGTGGCTAACATAGCTATGAACCTGTGGGGTCAAGACCTGTTGCAACAATGGAATACTCAGATTAACATCCCTCCAACCTCAGAAATAAATCATAAACTAGCACATGTTTCTGAGAGAAATATTAGAAGATATTATTCTAATGAGTGGTCACCAGCCATCCATATTATACAAGAACAGGGCACAACAACTGATGATCTCCCAAAGACACCAACAGCTCTACCTTTAAAATGGTTAACAGACAATCCTGTATGGGTTCAGCAATGGCCTTTAACAACAAAGAAACTCCAGGCTTTAGAAGAGCTGGTAGAAGAACAGTTAAATGCTCAGCATATTGAAGAATCAACCAGCCCTTGGAATTCTCCTTTATTTGTTATTAAAAAGAAATCTGGTAAATGGAGAATGGTAACAGACCTTAGAGCAATTAACATAGTAATTCAGCCAATGGGCTCTCTACAATCTGGAATTCCTTTGCCTACTCTGTTACCAAAATGATGGCCTCTCATAGTTATTGATTTAAAAGACTGTTTCTTTTCAATACCCTTACAAGAAAAAGACAGAGAAAGATTTGCCTTCACGGTGCCTACTTACAATAATTCTCAACCAGTTAAAAGATTTCAATGGAGTGTCCTCCCACAGGGAATGTTAAATAGCCCAACTCTGTGCCAATATTTTGTACAACAGCCATTGTAAGTGATTTTTTTTTCTTTTAATGGGTTTTGGGTCTGGGATAATTTTCATTGTTTAGGGGGGTTGGTTACAAGTTGTTGTCAAGGGTTAGGAAAAGGGCTAAGCAAAGGAGGTTAGATTTAAGGTTCTTGTTAAAAAAGAAAAAGACAATTACTAGTTTTAAATACTTTACATTGGATTGGATTGTACAAATTATATATATTGAAACTGATATTGTTAGAAAATGCTATATGTATATTTCTAATTGTACTTATACCATTATACCATTCATTTAACAATGTAATGCAATTTTCTTATCCTTGAATGTTATTATTACCAACTATTAGGATATAAAGAAATGAAAGTCAGTAGTTAGACATTATAATAGAACCTGTAGTATTATTAGTGTGTTTTAAAAATTGAGCAGATATATTTGATATAGACAGGTCATCTTCAAACCCTTCATAGATCATTCAGAATCTAGAATCTTAAGATAGGTGTGGTGGTTTGAATGAGAAATCTCTCCCATAGTCTCAGGCATCTGAATACTTGGGTCCACAGATATTGTTACTGTTAGGTGAGGTTTAAGAGGTATGGTTGGCCTTTCTGAAAGAAGTGTGTCACTAGGGATGAACTTTGAGAGTGGAAATCCTCACTCCACTGTTAGCTTGTCCTCTCTACTTTGTACAGAATAAACTAAGAATAGTATATGAAAAGAAAGGAAAAGATACCCACACCACAACATCAAAAATAACAGGAATCAATAAATACTGTTCATTAACAAGTCTCTCAATATTGAGGTCTCACAGACTAACAAACTATATTACCAAATAGAATCCATCTTTTTTTCTGCATCCAGGAGACACACCTCACCATCAAAGATAGACATCACTTCTAGGTAAAAGGATAGACAAAGGTATTCTAAGCAAGTAGAATCAAGAAGCACATAAGAATGGCCATCTTAATATCCAAAAATATGCATAAAACCAAAACCAATCAGAGGGCATAGGGAGGAGCATTGCCTTCTCATTAAAGGAAAAGATTCACTGAAAGAATGTTGGAATTCTAAACAGTTATGCACTAGACACAAAAGAACCCAAGTTCATAAAAGAAACATTGTTACAGCTAAAACAGCATATTAACACTAACAGAGTGATAATTGGTGACTTCACTACCTCCCAACTTTGTCAGCTCCCTCCATCCTCTGTGGCTTCACCATTTGTTCTCTCTTCACTTATTCTGGTTTTATTTACCATCCTCACCATTCAGGGTCTTGTGTGGCTTTTACTGGGTTGGTGACACCCTCACTTCAACTCCATCTTCCTTCCTTTGTCCTAGTTACCATGCTCTGGAGATCTGGAGTGGGCAGCTTCTAGGTTACATCTTTGGTGATATATTGTGTACCTTAATAAATTTGCCTGAGGATCAGAGAACAGAACAAGCCACTAGATCAAACATAGAAGTCAGGCAGTGGTGGCACACATCTTTAATCCCAATACTTGGGAATCACATGCCTTTAATTCCAGCACTAGGAAAATTGAGAGAAGAAATGATATGAGTGGGCAGAGAAAGGTATATAAGGCATGAGGCGACAGGAACTAAAGTCTTTTGGCTGGAGACACACAAGTAGTCAGGCTCTTTTTGGCTGAGGCCTTTCAGGTGAGGACTCAGAGGATTTCAGTCTGAGGATTCATGGAAGCAGGATTGGCTCAGGAGTTGGTGAGGCGATGTTGGCGATGGTTTGCTCTGCTTCTCTGATTTTTCAGCTTTCCTCCCAATATCTGGTTCTGGGTTTTTATTAAAAGACTGTTTAGGAATTCGTGTTACATACATCTATTTCCAAGCACATCCATTCCTTCTTATTTCTCTTCTTTATTTGCTGGTTGTTTGCAAACAGGCGGCAGCTCATGCTCTTTGGTCCTTATTACATAGATGTCCAAGCCTGGTAAATATGATTCGTCTTCCTAAAAATTATTGCAAAATTGCTGTGGCCTCTCCATGGCTCTAGCTTGGGTGACTTGGCTTGCTAAGTTTAGAACTTCAACAAGTGTGGAGATGTTGGAATGTTGCAGGGCCAGAACCTAATTACAACTCATCTCGGGCTTCCTATCCTTCCTTATCTACCTTTTTTTTTTTTTTTTTGGTTTTTTTGAGACACAGGGTTTCTCTGTGTAGCTTTGTGCCTGTCCTGGAACTCACTTGGTAGCCCAGGCTGGCCTCAAACTCACAGAGATCCACCTGACTCTGCCTCCCGAGTGTTGGGATTAAACCTTATCTACCTTAATAGCCATCCCTTGGCCACTTCTGTGTCGGTCCTAATATTCTATGACTAACAGCTAAAACAAAGCTTTGGACAAAAAGCCTCCTTCCCACTATCCAAAAGACTAATAATACCATCAGAGAACATATGAGTCTCCAGAACAGTCTTCTCCACGTTGCTCCA